AAAAAATATCATAAATATTATTTAAAAAATTATTAAAAATATAAAATATAAAATAAATTATCTATACTAATATATAAAGAGGATACCCTTTTTGGTAACTACATTGGTTTCCATTTTTCTTGACTTTATATCCTTTTATTTTACAAAATTATAGAAAAATATATATATATATATATATATATATAACAATTTAACAATTATTAGAAAAATTCTAGAAGTTTTAACCACTAAAAATTGACAGTGTTACAACGGTAAATGGTTGAAGTTAATAAAGGCAAAAAAATAATTAATGACAAAGATTAAAGTACATTAAAATTGTTCTTTTAAAAACTAAAAACTTATAAATTTTACATATAGACTAAAATAAATTATTAAACTTATATCAAGTTGAGATAATGAAGTGTGGATAAAAATAAAAATTAAAGATAGAAAAGAGATCAAATGCATGTTTATTTTGTAATATTATGAGTTATAAAGTGTGATTGTTGTTTTAATTAATTATATGATTTGTAGATTGTTGATTGGTGATGAGGAACTTTTTGAGGATTTTTTATGAGTTTATAAAGTTTTGAAGTTTTTTTAGACAAAGGTATAATTTGATTTTGGAGGGGTAAGTATTTAAGGTTTATGTTTATAATGGAGAATCATAAGTTTTGTTCTTTAGAAGTTTAGAGAGAGAAGTGTTATAATCTGTAAGTCTCATTCTTCTCTAACCCTTCTCTGGTGAGGTGATTTTCTACCCATAATTTCACCAAAGTTTTATTTGTGATAAAGTTAGTAAGAAACTAGAATCGAGTTGTTGATTCGTGCGAAGTGTTTCGGGGTCGCTTTGAGTTTCTTTCTTTATCTTCTTCTTCCTCATTTTCTATTTGATCATGAGGTAAGGAAAGCTAGACTGAATTTTGATGATGGTTAATGTTGCATGTTATTGAATCTACTTTTCAAATTCATGGTTGAGTTGTATTTTGGGATGAAATTCTCGTGTGGAAAGACTTAAATGTGTAATACATGTTAAGAGATGGGTTTTGGGTGAATCTGATGTATAGATGATTGCATGTTGAAAAATGTGTTGGAGATGAATTGCTAGTGTTGTGTAGGTTTGGCTTATGGCTTTGCATATGGATTTTTTTGATTTTCGTGTGCTTGGAGGCAAATTCATGATTTGTAATAATGGAGATTACTCACCATGTCGATTTAAGACATCATATGTCACTTCAATATGAGGTTCTTTATCTCACTCACGTTGAACATATGATTGGTGATGTTAGGCATGAGAAGATATAATCATCTTAGGTTGAACTGACGTCGAATGTGAACTAAATGGCACTAGATGTAAGGAGAAAAAATCGTCTTAGAATGGAATGATATCAACCATGAACTAAATGGCACTAAGCATGAGAAGAGATAATCATCTCGGGACCTATACTTAATCCACGTTGAGTGTAAGTTGTGTGACACCAAACATGAATATGACAAAGAATCAAATATTATATTGTTAATTGTAGAAATCATGACACATCATTACATGTTTACCATTACTTCGATAGAAACGTATTAACTTTTTACCAATTTCACATAATCTAATATAAATTTATATTGTCGACTAAACTATAACATATTATCGTTCCAATGCAGAAATTTATCAGATATAGACTCTCCGAAGTTTGTCAAATACAATCAACAAAAAAGAAACTAAGGTTAAGTGAAAAAGATGTAAGCAACATATTTATGAAGTTTTTGCTTTAGGGAAGAAAAAAATAACTATAGTGACGAAGTAGATAGGAAGAATATAATATAGTAAATTGTTTGGTATGTAGAACAGCTGTCAGAAGTAGGAAATTTTGGAGAGAAATCCAATGTATGTGGACGGGCAGCGAACAAGTTGGCAAGTTGAGAATTATTCGTCGCAGCTTTGGCTTTGGCAACCTCCGAGGCTTACATTCATTAATATTTCTTTATGCGCTTAACATGACAAATGTTCCTTTTCATGGTCCACACTCCTCTTATCATCTCACTACTTAACAATCAACATGTTGATAAGAACCATCAATTATATATACGTGCTAATCTTTTGATCCACCACCTGATTGTATTAAGTATATTTTATAAATTTATTATTAATTACTGTATGGGGAATGTTTTATATAAATGATTTAGTTTTTTTAATTTATTTTTATAATGATTTGATTATACTTTTTTATTTTTTGAAATGAGACATAATCTTGTAAGTATTTATGCAGTAATACATTCAAACAGTTTAAAATTATTTATTAACATGTATATCTTAAAACACTTACAGTAAAAGAAAATTATAAGCTAAAATCAGTTTATAAATAAGTTAAAAAAATATTTTTTAAAATTAATATAAAAAATTATACGGACTAGATCATACATAATATAATTTTAGTTTTATTTATTTTTGTATTTTATTTCTTTAAAATATTTTTTTAGATTAATTTATCCTAATAAAGTCTTAATTAAGTTCCGTACTTTTTGTGTTTGTCAGAGTAGTACCAAACTAATTGTCGCCTCTTTCGAAACCTCAAGATTTTTTGTCCTTAACATATTTATTTCTGAAATTAAAGGAATTTAAAATAAATTCTTAACATTTTTAGATGTTTTGTTTAAATTCCTAAGGTTAACCATTCATTATATTTTGATCCTAAATCTATGTTAATATGTTCGCATTATTCATATGTATGATATTGTAATTAGACTAATGAGATTAAAATATTACGCTTTCGGATTACTTTTTTAACGATTTCTTTTCATACTGAGCCTAAATCTCAAATATTGTGGTACATCACGATGTCCAGGAACGGACCTAAACAATTTGAAGGGGGCAAAAATTTAAAAGATATTAAAAAAAATCAAAAATGACTAATTTTTACCGAAATTATTATTTAAAATCAAAAAATTAAACCTACACTTTTGGTAAACGTAATCAATGTTTTTATACTTTTATTTTGACGAATTTAGTTCTCAAACTTTAAAAATAATGTGAATTTAATCTTTTCTAATCTTAAAATAATATGACATATAATGATTATTTTGGTTAATATACTTATTATGATTTAACAATAACTAAATGGAAATACAAGTATCAAGTATATATCTGCTTATAATATCATGCAACAAAAGAAATAAATCTTATACGAGCAATCATATGTATAATAAGTAAAATAACTATTTGTGAGCATATATATTGTGTACCGGGAGGTCTCCATCGGTCACGTTGACCAACACGTGTCATTTCATCAGACACCCACGCTACCAAAACCATACGAAAGTCTCAGCGGAAGCATCGGCTCGGCCCACAGCCGAAGCCATATCTATGACGGATCGGTTGAAGGCCGCACCGTCACAGCACGTACCGACGGGCAAATGCTGCTCCGTCAGGTCACTCGACCAACTGCTGGTCGGCCCAGTTAACGATCGTATAGACAACTCCCATTCCTTTACCCGACGGATCGGCAAAATGTCGTACCGATATGTGAAGGACGGCCATTAACTTCAGTTAGCCAAGGTAAGCACGTGATTAAGGCATAAGTAGCTGATTAACATCGTATTACCTAATTTGGTAAACACCTGAGAAGGCCCACAATGCTCAGGCCCACGTCAGAGGCTATAAATAGGTCACACATAATGAGGTAGAACACTGTTCATTTATTATCCTAGAAAATCGTGTCTGTACTAACTTGAGCGTCGGAGTGCCTTTTGCAGGTACCTCCCCCCTCTGAAGAGACTGTTTGAAGTATCCGTTCGGCCCTTTTCCCCATTGCAGAGTACGAGTGTGCCCCTAGACAGGTACATTTTGGCGCCCACCGTGGGGCCGAATCGATAGCTTGAAGAAGACGTACTGAGAATTATCTTGAAGACATCATGGTAAAGACAAGGAATACTGATTTTGAAGGACATCAGTCCGAAGATGAGCACCAGTCCAGGGCCGAGACAGTTGAGGAGACAAACTTGACCGACATGGTACGCCAGATGAAGGAAGAGGTGATAGCCATGAAACAGCAGCGAGAAAAGGATGCCGCCGAGATGGTCGCATTAAGAGAAGAGAATGCTGCACTAAAAAATCAGCACCAGGATCCCACTTGGAAGCCATCAGAAACAACCCACACTCAGGAATCCTTCCATTCGTACGGCCATCACACTTCCACTCCTCATACTTCTGTTGCTACCCCGGTTGTCCACGCGTCGGCGAGCCAACCAGTACAGCTCATGCCAGCTGGGGCACACCGACATCCCTTTACACCCAACATCATGCAGTCCGCCCTCCTCGACCATTGAAAGTCCTTGTCCCTCGACAAGTACGACGGCACCACAGATCCGGATGAGCATGTGGATGTATTCTTAACCCAAGTTACTCTGAGCACTACCGATGATGCCGCCTTGTGCCGTATCTTCCCAACGTCGTTGAAAGGAAGAGCATTAAGTTGGTTCACCCGGCTTCCCGCCAATTCAATCAACTCGTTCGGTACACTAGCTTCACAATTCACAATACAGTTTGCTACCAGTTGGCCTCACCAGCTAACCTCGCTGGCACTAGTAGGCATCCGTCAAGAGAAAAAGGAGTCCCTCCGGATATTCATGAGTCGATTCAACAAAGCGGCCCTTGAAATCCGAGACTTGAACCCCGCTGTAGCCCTACACCACCTTACCACTGCCTTGAAGCTAGGACCTTTTGCCAATAGCATTTGTAAGAAACCCCCTACAGACATGGACGATTTACGTCGACGAGCTGACAAATATATGCAGATGGAGGAATTAGCAGAATTCCGAAACCAAGCCCGAGCAGAGGTCTCGACAAAATCTGACAAACCAACCGATGTTAGTTTTCGGGGTCGACCGAAGGATTTCGGGCCCCGCGAGAAACCACCCCGGGGTCCGAGGTACTCCCAATATACGCCCCTCAATACAAGCAGATCAGCAATCCTGGAACGGGCACTTGCTTCAGAGGTGCTAGCAGTCCCGAAACGAGCCTCGACCCCTCCCAGGGCCGATACAAGTAAGTTCTGCAGATATCATCGCAATAGGGGACACTCAACAGAGGAATGTGCGACATTGAAGGACAAAATTGAAGACCTAATCAAACAGGGACAGTTACAAAGTTTCATAGATCGCCTAAACTCGTCCCGACACACCGATCGGCCTCGGCGGCAAGATCAACCCGAGCAAAGAACAAGAACAGACTCATACAGAGAACGAAGTCGGTCAAGAAGCAGAAGAGAAGAGGAACCCCCAACACAGACTCGGCGAGTCATCAATACCATAGCCGGCAGATTCGCTGGTGGCGGGTCATCCTCCTCGGCTCAAAGGAGGCATCTTCGAGCCGTTCGGCATGTACATGCAGTAGAAACAGTTCGTCGTCGTCTCCCCACTATCACATTCACCGAGAATGATTTCAGAGGCATTGACCCGGATCAGGACGACCCAATGGTAATCAGTGTCGAAATCCACAACTGTGTTATGCGAAAAACGTTGGTTGATCAGGGAAGCTCCGCCGACATTCTGTATTGGAACACGTTTAAGCAGTTGGGCATTCCGGAATCCGAGCTGGTCCCTTATGACGAACCTTTGGTTGGGTTTTCAGGTGAACGGGTTAAAACAAAAGGTTATATTAAGCTGTCAACTCGGTTCGGGTTTGAAGGAACCGAATACCGAGACATTTCGGTTAAATACGTGGTGGTTCACACCAGTACATCTTATAACATTCTACTTGGTCGGCCATCCTTGAATCGGCTTGGGGCAATAGTTTCTACACCCCATTTAGCCATGAAATTCCCGGCTGAATCAAGGCATGTCATCACGATCCACGCCGATCAAAAAACTGCACGAGAATGCTACTTTGCCAGCCTTCGATTACCAAAAGTTAATGAAGCGCGTGAGGAGCCGAAGGGTCTTCACTCGGTGTCACAGCAATCGGTTATTGACCTTGATCCCCGGATTGACAAAGACGAAAGAGTATAACCCATAGAGGATAAGCAGCCTCTCCAAGTAGGAGTCTCGGTCTCCCAGCTCACTTATCTCGGAACGGCCCTCTCTGAGCAAGAAAAATTGGCTATTGAACAAGTGATCCTTGACAACAGCGATTTATTTGCGTGGCACCCCTCCGACATGCCCGGCATCGACCCGGATTTCCTTTGCCATAAGCTCTCAGTCAGTCGGGAGGCAAGGCCGATTGCTCAACGGCGTCGGAAGACCGGAGAAGAAAAGAAAGTGGCAATTGAGGCCGAAGTAGCCAAATTACTGGAAGCACAATTTATACGAGAAGTGCATTATACAACATGGTTGGCTAATATAGTCATGGTCCAAAAATCAAGCGGGAAATGGCATATGTGTACCGATTATACCAACCTGAACAAGGCGTGTCCGAAAGACGCCTACCCCTTGCCCAATATCGATCGGCTCGTCGATGGGGCGTCCGGCCACCGATTCCTATCTTTCTTAGACGCCTATTCGGGGTATAACCAAATCCGCATGCACCCTCAAGATGAAGAAAAGACAGCGTTCATCACCGAGACGGCCAACTATTGCTACCGAGTTATGCCATTCGGCCTGAAGAACGCCGGGGCCACATACCAGCGTCTGATGAACAAAATTTTCCAGGATCAAATCGGTCGGTGCTTGGAAGTTTATGTTGATGATATGGTAGTAAAGTTCGGTGAAGTTTCCGCCCACGTGCGCCACCTGGCTGAAATATTCCGAGCGCTCAGGCAGCACCGGATGAGGCTGAACCCCGAAAAATGCGTGTTTGGCGTCTCAGGTGGAAAGTTTTTGGGGTTCATGTTGTCCAGTCGAGGCATCGAGGCGAACCCGGATAAATGTCAGGCCATATTGGAGATGAAGAGTCCCGATACTCTTAAAGAAGTACAGAAGTTAGCGGGTCGGCTTACGTCGCTTTCCGGTTTCCTCCCTCGACTGGCCGAGATATCTCAGCCAATCCTCGCCCTGCTAAAGAAAGCAAAACAGTTTAGCTGGACCCCTGAGTGTGAAGAATCGTTCCAACAATTCAAGCAACGCCTCGGCTCTTCCCCCGTACTCTCCAAACCGAATGCTAGCGCCGATATAATAGTCTACCTTGTCGTATCAAGTCATTCGGTAAGCGCTGTTTTAGTACAGGAAAATCAGGGGGATCAGCGACCGATGTACTTCACCAGTCGGACGCTACAAGATGCCAAGAAGCGCTACCAGTTGTTAGAGAAAGTAGCTTTAGCGCTCGTCTATACGGCTCGAAGGCTCAGGCAATATTTCCAAAGTCATAAGGTGGTCGTCCGAACCGATTGCCCAATTGCGAAAGTCCTTCGTAAGCCAGAAATTGCTGGTAGAATGATGGTCTGGTCGGTTGAACTCTCCGAATTCGACATATCCTTTGAACCGAGGGGACCTATCAAGTTGCAACATTTAGCTGACTTCGTCAATGAGCTCACTCCAGCAGGTAATTTCCACGACGAGCCATGGACCATGCATGTTGGCGGATCTTCCAATGCTCAAGGAAGCGGGGCGGGAATAATTCTAGCTAGCCCCTCAGGCATCACAGTAGAACAATCGCTTCGCTTCGGTTTCCGAGCGTCTAATAACCAGGCCGAGTACGAAGCATTACTAGCCGGAATGAGGTTAGCAGCTAAAATGGGTGTCAAGAAGGTTGTATGCTGGACTGACTCAAAGATTGTGGCCGAGCAGGTCAACGATAACTTCCAGGTCAAAGATGCTAATTTGTTACAGTATTATCACCTCTTCCAGAAACTAAAAGATGACTTCGCCAAAGTTCAAATCTGGCACGTCTTGAGAAGTAACAACAAACGAGCCGATCAGTTGGCTCGGCTCGCTAGCAGTAGAAAGTCGGGACAACTAAGAACAACGATTCACTTGGAAATTCCTTCTCCAAGTGTGGCGGTAGAGTGCATGACCACCGGTCCTGAAGCACCGAACTGGATGACTCCCATTCGGAACTTCATCCTCCAAAGGGGAGTTGCCCACCGATCCAATAGAAGCGAGAAAATTGCGTACCCAGGCAGCTAGGTATTCCATAGTAGCTGGCGAACTCTACAAGCGGGGATTCTCCACCCCGTTGCTCAAATGTATTGACAATCAGCAGGCTGATTACGTATGCGAGAAATCCATGAAGGAATCTGCGGTTCCCATTCCGGAGGACGAACCTTGGCAGCAATGGTGTTACGGGCCGGCTATTATTGGCAGACACTAAAAGGAGATTATGGTGAATTTGTCAAAAGGTGCATACAGTGTCAGCGACACGACAATGTCATTCATGCATCGGCTACCGAGTTACACAGCATCAACTCCCCATGGCCGTTTGCGTTATGGGGTATTGATGTGCTCGGACCGTTTCCTGTCGCAAAGGGACAAGTAAAATTTCTTTTGGTTGCGGTGGACTACTTCACCAAATGGATAGAAGCCGAGCCGCTCGCCTGCATCTCGGCAACTAATGTTCAGAAATTTGTATGGAAGAATTTGGT